GACACATACGCACACAAGTGCACACACAAAACACACACGTATACACACGTGCACACACATACATACACAGGCACACATACACGTGCACACACACACACGCACGTACACACATACACATGCACACACAGTGTGCTCTCACCAGCCCCTTGCAGCCACCCAGGACACAGGTTCACAGTGCACTGCAGTGACCACTCAGGGCTCCCAACACTCGGTCCAGAGACCCTTGCTGGGGACTCTGCTTTGGGAAAGTGCAACAGAGAGCAGACGTCTGCAGAGGCAGCCGCAGCCGCACAACTCCCTCACTCCCAGGGCGGTGCAGCCCCTGCTCTGCGGGCTCGAGGGGGTGTGCCACAGAGGTGCTGTGGGGGCGGCATGGAGGTGCCTTGGGGTGCCCCGGGGGTGCTGTGGGGGTTCCCTGGGGGGTGCCAAGGGGTGGGCCACATGGGCGAGCCCCCGATGGCGTGATGCGCTGCTCCCAGACTTGCCCTGTCAGCGTGGCGCCCCCCACTCTCGTCCTCATGTCCCCTCCTCCTCCCCGGAACCAGGTCCAGTGTGAAGCTCCGTCCACGTGGCCACCGGCCTCCCAGCAGATGACCAGGAAGTTGCTGTGAGCGTCTCACGGGGATGGAGAAGCACATTCAGTGAGTGTCAGGAGGACGCCAGCCTAGACTGGGTGAGGTCCCAGGTGCAGTCCCGTGGGTCATAAACAGCAGCTACACCTGCAGGGCCCAGGGTGGAGCAGCTGCCGAGGCACAGGAGACGACGAGGGGCACTGGCAGGAGGCCCCCGAGCACCTGGGCTGTACGTGCAGATAAAAGCAGCAGATGCGTGACCTCATCAGCTCCCACTGCAGCCCAGCCTGCGGGCCAGGAGTCTGGGGCTCAGCCAGTCTCACGCGGCCACTGCGGCCTGGTCCCAGGCCTGGGGGGATGGCCATCTCCAAGCTCACTCAGCCAACAGCCGACCCGGTCCCGGTTCCCGGCAGCTTTGGGACTATGTCTTCCGGGGACTGTGGCCAGGCTCAGCCCTCACCCTCGGCAACAGCCCCCCAGCTCCTCACAGGAGTCCCCAGGTGCTTCCAACCCTATGACTTCCCTTCTGGCCCCACCGAGGTGCCACAGGCCTCCTGTCATGAGGCCAGGTCCACCCAGTGACCTCCCACCTAAGGTCAACTGATGAGCACCCCAACTACTCTGCAAACGGGGTGTCACAGAGCAGGAGTGACGCCAGGGTACAGGCCTGGGCCACCCAGTCTCCTGCCCACCACCGAGGAGAGGATGCTGAATGGGGCTTCTGAGGCCAGGTGAGCCAATGCAGACGCCGCGTAGCCCCAGAGGCCTCAGGGACAGCAGGATGAGGAGGGTATTCGAAGCCGCCCGGCACCCAGCTGTCTCCTCCATGCACCAGGACCTCCTCCCGAGCTCAGACACAGAGGCCTGCTCTGCAGAAAACACGGACGTCTGACCGTTACCAGTCACTCGCCAACAGCCCAAATTCCTTCCTGATAAATGTGCCGTGACACATTCACCCGGACCCAGCCACCTTCGGAACATTTTCTCCGAGTGACGAATACGACTCTACGGCCCGGGCTCTGGAAAGTGTGTCATTTACAGGAACAGCCGAGGTCGTTTAGCTGGCGTGGGGGGTGGGCACAGCCCTGCATCCTCCCAGCAGTGAGGCAGGGACAGACGGTGAAGCCTCCCCCACGCCCCAATGAAGACCCCCCCGGTCCCCAACCCCAGGGAGGACGGGGGAGCCTCAGGGTCTCTGCAGCTGGGGTCTCCCAGGGCTCCCCCTGGCAGGTGGCCTGGGCCAGGGCAGCTGACTCCCCCAGATGGCAGGGAGGCCCGAACCAGCTGTGGCACCCACGGACGCACCCGACAGCCGTGGAAACTTCCCAACAGCACCCCTGTTTCGCAGCGGAGGAGGAGAGGGGAGCAGCCCAGGGGCCCTGCAGCAGATGCCGCGTGGACTCTGCCCAGCCCTCCAGGACCCGAAGAGCAGGTGCAGCCACTGGAGGGCTAAGGATTCCAGGGCTGAGAAGCAGGTGCCGGCGGCTCCCAGGGAGCAGGCCATTTGCTTGTTCTCAGCAGCCCCCAACACAGAACAGTGAGAACCTTCACACCCCACAGAGGAACCTGCAAGACATGCATGCCCATCTCATGGGTGGGGAAACTGAGGCACCCAGGGAGCAAGTGACTTGCTTCAGGTCGGGCAGAGGATGAATGGGGGCCTTCACGCCCCGTCTCTCCCAGGCTCTGAGCAGCTGAGCGCCGTTGGCCGAGGCAGCCTGGAAGTAGGGGGCAACAGGAGACTGGACAGCAAAGGGGGGTGAATGGCCAGCTCCCCCGGTCCCTCCACAGACCCCGTCCACTGTGCAGGGCCCCAGAGTCCAGAGGCCGCCCCTCAAACACACGTGGCTTTGCAGTCCCTGAGGCTGCCGTGCGTGTCTGTCGTGGGCAGTACTAGGACGGGGGAGCAGCAGCCCCGAGGCCAGGCCAGGTGGGGGCAGGGGTCCTGCAGATGCGACCTCAGGGCTCCCGTCAGGACGGCTTTCAGGGTCAACAGCCCGACCCACCCACCCAAGGCAGCTGTTCACCCTGCCTCAGTCACGGCTTGGACGATGACACTAGCCGCTCAGTCATCGTGGTGTGGCCCCAGGGGGCTGTGGTCAGTCCCAGAGTGAGCAGGCCTGGGGGTGCTGTGCCCCCTCCCGGCAGGGACCCACCCACTTGATCAGGGTCCACCAGCAGCCACTGGCCCTCCCTTCCCATCTGACCCTTGCTCCCCGGAGACCCTGCCAGGCCCGACCTACCCCATGGGCTGGGCCTCGCCAGAGAAGCCAGGTGGGCTGGAGGATCCTCTCACTCTGGGCCTCTGTGTCCCTGGGGTGCCAAGCCTGGGACTGCCCACACCAACTGCAGAGGAGAGAAGCTCAGGAGGACTCAGGACCTGGCAACGCCAAGAAATGACCCCCTCCTCCAGGAAGGCCATCATCATTATCCAGGTCTTCTTATTGGGAGACCCTGGGCCACATCCAGCAGCCCTCCCCTGCCTGCCACCACATCTGCACTTGCAGGGATCTAGTAAGTGAGTTGGGTAACTGGATGGGTTGAGCGGGGAGGGGACCTCATGTTGCTGGTCTCACCCTCGACTGCATCTGCTCATGGAGAGGAGGTTTGCCCGGTGAAGTCTCCACAGGACCCTCCAAGGCCAGGTCTCAGACCCTGGGGGAGGGCCGGCAGCAGCCTCCAGGGAGTCCCGACTGTGCAGAGAAATCGAGAGGCCCCTGTGGCATTTCGGTTAAAGCAGCCCCAGAAAATCCCACCCCCGCGATTACCGTGGGCCCTGGAATCAGGCCCTCCTGAAGTGGCTTCCCGCTTGCAGCCACCCCTCGGCTGCCGCCCACAGCGCCGTGCCCTCCACACGAGGCTGCAGAGCTCCCCAGGCTGCACATTTGTTCTGGGTCTCAAGGCTGTTAATCCTCAAGGCAGCTGGTTCTGTTTAGGGCTTGATTTGTCAGACAATTTAAAATTTTCTTCCTGCCCGAAAGCGGCTCCATCAAAGGGAAGGGAGGCTTCTCCGCGGCCGGCCGATGTCGCTGAGTCTTCCAAGACTTCAGCCCACAGAGTGGGAGAGGCCCGGAGGGCAGCATGAGTGCCTCAGACCAGGGGAGGGGGCTGCCCAGGAGCCAGGAGGACCAGTGCCCCCAAAGCAACTCAGCAGGGCACACAGCCCCACCACTCCCACTCCTCCCAGTCTCAGAGAGCCGAGCAGGCAGGAGTGGGAGGGAGGCGCAGACGAGGCCCATGTCCTGGGCCTGCAGGGGAGAAGCTGGGGAGAGCAGGGCCTGTACCCTGAGGATGTGGAATGGGCGCCCCACCGCAGATGGCTCCTAGGGTCCCTTCTAGGCGGCATTCCTAATTTCCGGGGATGTGTCATCCACGTCGCTCGTCAGCACGGGCTGTGAGCCACTCTGGTGCCTGTGGAGCTGGGGGGCTGCTCCCCATCCCCGCCAACGTACGGGGCAGCGGAGACGCAAGCAGCAAGAGCCCAACTTTGAGGCTGGATGTCCAGTCTCTGGGTCTGAACCGGCCCCCCAGGCTAGCTGTGGTCCCAGCCCCGCTAGTGCAGCTCTGGGGGGGACCCAGGGCCCTGTCGTAAACTCTGTGATGTCCCCTCCCCTCTAAAACTGGAAAATGGTCCCAGGAAGTGTGACCACCCCACACCCAGCCCTGTGGCTGCTGTCAGCGCCCTCTGACACTGCACTGTGGTGGCTTCCTGTGAGCACAGCAGACCCCTCTGCTCCCGGGTTCCCGTCCGAACCCTCCTGCCGTCCTGGGGGCTGTGGGAGGGGCTGCCAGCCAGACGAGAGCTGACCCGGGCAGTGAGTGCAGTGGTGCCGGGGAAGGTCTGGGGTCTCGGTGAGAAGTGCGAATGGTCAAACCCAGAGGCTGCACCCGAGGCCAGGTCCAGAGGGGAGCCCAGGCCACCCTGAAGGACAGGTCCCTGGGTGGGGCGGGAGCCGGAAAAGGAGGAACATTCCGGAACGCAGCCCAGGTTTTGCCATCGAGCTGATGCTGGCATCAGGGTGAATGTACAATTCGAATAATGTGAGAATAAGGCTCATTAGAGGTAGATACTGGGTTTTGTTAAAATGTATTTCCAGCCTCTCTTTTTTTTTTTTTTTTTTGAGACAGAGTCTTGCTCTGTCGCCCAGGTTGGAGTGCAGTGGCCGGATCTCAGCTCACTGCAAGCTCCGCCTCCCGGGTTTACACCATTCTCCTGCCTCAGCCTCCCGAGTAGCTGGGACTACAGGCACCCGCCACCTTGCCTGGCTAGTTTTTTGTATTTTTTAGTGGAGACTGGGTTTCACTGTGTTAGCCAGGATGGTCTTGATCTGCTGACCTCGTGATCCGCTCATCTCGGCCTCCCAAAGTGCTGAGATTACAGGCTTGAGCCACTGCGCCCGGCCTTCCAGCCTCTCTTAAACCAATCACAGGATTTCTCTCCTCTTCTGTCCATCGAGGACACTTATTTAGGTGCCTCCGTGTTTGGCTGCATGTGGTTTTCACACCATCATGCCAGCCTCCACAGTGAGCCAGGGAAACCTGTCTGCGGCTGCCACTGTCCCAACCCTGGGACCTTGGGAAGTTCCTCATGGGCAGCTCGCCTGACCCAGGTGCGGTGAAGAGTCCCCTGTGACCGAGGAGGAGCAGTGACACAGCCAGGGCACAGTGTGACTCCAGGGCCCTTCCCCTGTCTCAGAGGAGGAGCAGTGACACAGCCAGGGCATGGTGTGACTCCAGGACCCTGCCCCTGTGACTGGTCACGTGGCTGCTTTTGCCCCACCATCCCGACCACTGTCATCATGGACCAGTCAGCGGCACTGCTCTCCTCAGACAGGCTGGCCTGGGCTGAATGGTGGCCTTCAAACTTTGTCATCATCCCAAACAAAATGACAGGCCCAGCCATACAACACTGAAATAGAAAACAGGCAAACAATAGAGAAAATCAACACAACAAAAATCTGATTCTGAAAAGATCAATAAATTTGATACAACTCTACCTATACTGATTTTTTGAAAGAGAGAAGTCACAAATTATTAATATGAGAATTGAAATAGGAGACATCACTACAAATCTGACAGACATTAAAAGGACAATAAAGAAATATGATGACCAACTTTATGCCAATAAATTTAGACAACTTATATAAAATAAACAGATTCCTTGAAATATATAAATTATCTAAATTAACTCAAAAATATTCCTGTAGTTATTAAGAAAATTGTGTGAGAGGGCTTCACTGGAGAATTCTATCAAACATTTAAGAAAGAAGTAACACCAATTCTGAATAAACTCTTTCAGAATATAGAAGGGAAGGGAACATTTCAAAATTTATTTGATGAGGCCAAAATCATCCTGATACCCAAACCAGAAAAGAAAACAGAAAAGAAAAACACAGACCAACATCTCAGATGAACATAAACACAAAATTCCTTAACAAAGCATTAGCAAATTGAACCTGCCAATTTATACAAAGGATACTATACCATAGCTAACTGGGCTTATGCAATTTTGGCTTAATATCTTTTTAATCAAACAATATAATTTACTATAATAGCAGAATAGAGGTGACGAACAATTTGATCACCTCAGTAAATGCAGAAAGTATATTTGACAAAATGCAATACCTGTTTGTGAAAGTACTCTAAGAAAACTAGGAATTGAAGTTAACTTTCTCTAAAATAAAAACTTAAAAAAAAAAGAAGTTAACTTTCTCAACATAATAAAGAGCATCATCACCAACAACCACCAAAACTACCCTATAGTTAATACCATATTTATGTGAAAGACAGTAGACTTTCTTTCTAAATTCAGGACTATGTTAAGAACATCCATTCTCACCACTGCTATTTGACACTGTACTGGAGGTTTAATTAGTGGATAAAGGCAAGAAAAAGAAATAAAGGTGTACATATTGGAAAGAAGAGGTGTATTGGTCTGTTCTCATGCTGCTATAAAGAACGGCCCAAGACTGGGTAACTTATAAAGGAAAGAGGCTTAATTGACTCACAGTTTAACATGGCTGGGGAGGCCTCAGGAAACTTACAATCGTGGCAGAAGGGGAAGCCAACATGTCCTTCTTCACATGGTGGCAGGAGAGAGAAATGCAGAGTGAAGAAGGGGAAAGCCCCTTATAAAACCATCAGATCTCATGAGAACTGATTCACTATCACAAGAACAGCATGGGGGAACCACCCCCATGATCTAATCACCCCCCACAAGATCCCTCCCCAAACATGTGGGGATTACAGTTCAGATTACAATTCAAGATGAGATTTGGGTGGGGACACAGAGTCAGACCACATCATGAGGTAATATTGTCTTTATTCACAGAGGATATTATTTTGTGCTTAGAAAATTCTACAGAATCTATTTTAAAAGCTGCAAGAACCAATAAGTGAATTTGACAAGGCACATGATCAATGGACAAAAATTAATTATAAGGCCAGACTTCTGGAATGGTGGTGTGAGAACCTCCACAAATGCAGTTTTCCTTAAAAACAATTAAATTACTAGAAATTTTATCAAAATCTTCTTTTTCAGAGCTCTGCAGATTAACCAAAGGATTGCAACAACCTGAAAAGCATTTATTCCAGAAAAAATACTGTACCTTGGTAAGAATGAACTACTGACACATGCTCTATCATAAATGAACCTCAAAAACATTATGCTAAATGAAAGAAGCCAGACACAAGAGACCACATACTGTATGATTCCATTTACATGAAACATCCAGAAAAGGCCACTCTATAGACAGAAAACAGATTAGTGGTTTCCTGGGGTGGAGGGTATGAAAGGGTGTTAACCATAAATGAGCATGAGAAGTCTTATTGGGGTGATGAAAACTTTCTAAAACTGATTTATGATGATGATTATACCATTTGGTAAATTTACCAAAAATTATTGAATTGCATACTCACACTTGAATAGGGTAAATTTTATGTTATGTAAAATATACCTGAATAAACCTATTTTGGAAAGAAAAACAAACTAAGCATAGTCTTTGCCAGTTTCTCAGTGCTAGGGAGAAAACACCTAGAATTCAGGGCCCTCGAAGAAACAGGACCCTTGGCAAATACCTTAGACTCTCAGCTGGGTCCCTTGGAAAGTTAGGCTCTAGGATTAGGGAAAAACTGGTGATATATCGTATTCACAAAGACATAAACTTAGATTTGAATTACATCCAACTGTGATTGGTAAAAGGTGAACTGTCCCTACACCATCTGTCCACCAAAATGACATTAAATCCTATAAAAAGTAAGATAACATTAAACAGAGTGTCTACAATATTTCATACACAATGTCCAGAATTTAATCAAAAATGACCCAGCAAGACAAGAGACAGGACCATATGCCTGTATGGGGGAAAAAACAAATAAGAGAAACAGATCCATGGGTGGCCTTGATTTGGGAATTATCAGACATGAACTTTAAAATAAGTATGATTCACGAGACATTAAAAGATGAGACAGACAATTGCATTAAAAAAGTAATTGACACTGAAGATAAAACAGAAATTCTAAAAGTAAAAAATGTAATAACTAATATTAAAAGCTCAATGGGTAGGATTAATAGCAGATTAGACATGGCAGAAGAGAGAATAAGTTAATTTGAAAATAGGTCAAAAGGAAATGGGCAGACTGAAGGACAAAGACAGACAGATAGGAAATATAGAAAAGCATATAAGAGATGCATGGAAGATGATGAAAGGCTCCAACATGTGTGAAATTTAAGGCCCAGGAGGAAAATAAAGACAGAAAGGGACAGAGGCAATATCTGAAGAGAAAATAGCCAAGAATTTTTCTAAAACTGATCAAAGATATCTTACCACAGATGCAAAAAATAAAATCTACACATAAAGGACATCTTTCCTAGGTACATCATAAAACTGCTGTAAACCAAAGACAATAAGAAAACCTTGAAAGAAACCAGGGGGAAAAAGCACATTTTCTTTTTATTTTTTATTTTTTATTTTTTATTTTTTATTTTTTTTTATTATTATACTTTAAGTTCTAGGGTACATGTGCATAACGTGTAGGTTTGTTACATATGTATACTTGTGCCATGTTGGTGTGCTGCACCCATCAACTGGTGATGGTGATGGTGGTGTGTGATAATGGTGATGGTGATGGTGATTGG